CTCTCTCTCTCTCTCTCTCTCTCTCTCTCTCTCTCTCTCTCTCTCTCTCTCTATATATATATATATATATATATTTTTTTTTTTTTTTTTCCTTTTTCTTTTTTATGTGGCTGGCCGGTAAGAGGATCTGAGTCCTTGACCTTGATGTTATCAGTGTGTTTCTATATTTTTGACCAAGTGGCTCAGTGTGATTTTTATGGTTCTGTGATCTTCCCACTTCCTGGTGGCTCAGATCCCCATTTTGTAGAGGAAACTTAGACACAGACATGACACAGTCTCAGGACCACCCAAGTGAGTAAATGACAAATATTAGTCAGAGATCTTGACTCCCATGTCTTTCTGCCTATGACTGCACTGCATGGAAACCATGAAGCAAAGGCTTAGAAAAGAAACAGACCAGAGCCAGTAGCCAGATGAGTGTTGTTGTATCTGCAGATCCTAATTCTCAGAAGGAGCTGATACAAAACCATATTTCGTTTCTGGCATACCTCCCAATGACTTACACTGTTTTCAGGATTCCCTGTAATTGCTCATGTACAAATCTCTCTCCTAAGAAGGAAGGGACAGTGGTATTTTCAAAGGTGGAATTAGGACAGAACGTGTCCATAACAAAAGAAAGGATGAGGAAACAGCTCAGCTCCACTTTTGATGGGGACTGGAAGTGTCTCTACCACAATCTCATCTTTTCTCACGAGAACCTGAAAACCTGCCATTTCACTTCCTGCGGAACTCTGCAGTTAGACAGATCGGAGTTCACATTCAGGCTCCAGTAGTCACTAGATATGTGACCACGGGTAAGTCGCTTAACTTCTCTATGCCTCAGTGTCCTCATCTGTCAAAAAGGAATAATAATGTAACTGCCTCATAGAGTAGTTCTGAGGATTAAATGGATCAATGCCTATAAAATGCCTGGCACAGTGCCTGATACACGATGCGTGCTCACTAAATATTAGCTAATATTGTTATTTATCCATCCAATCAGAACATGTTTATTATGTACTATTAAGATCCAGGCACAGTTCTAGGTGGTGGGTCAACAGTGGTGAACAAAAACAAAAAAATGTTTCTGTTTTCCTAGAGTTTATATTCCAGTAGAGGAGACAGAAAATGAACAAATGAACAAAACTAAATGAGACGATTTTGGATAACTGCTAGAAGTTTCATAAAGGACAGTAGCAGGACTACTTTAGATAGGGGGATCAGGTATGGCCTTTTTGAGGTGGGACTTCTGAGCTGATATCTGATGGATGAGGTAAAGCCAACTAGGTGAAAAGCTTATGGAAGAACATTCCAGACAAGGAGAACCAGGCAGCTTTTTTCTGATAGGAATTGTGAGAGGCCCTAAGTTCCTTTTTACTCATGTTTCAGACTGGGAGGGATTTGAACATGAAATTACACATTCACTTCAGCATATTAGGAGCACTTGTACTTCTTTTTCAAATTAGAAAAGTTTTTTTTCTTTTCTTTTTTTTTTTTTTGGTGGCTGGCCAGTATGGGAATCTTGGTGTTATAAGGCTGTGCTTTAACTAACTCAGCTAACTGGCCAGGTTATTTTATATTTTTCTATTTATACGTGTGTGTGTGTGTGTGTGTGTGTGTGTATTTATTTACTTATTTTTTTGGCAGCTGGCTGGGAATTCGAACTCTTGACCTTAGTATTATAACACTGTGCTCTAATCATCTGAGCTAACCAGCCAGTCCCCCAGGAGCATTGGTAGTTATTCTACTCCTTTTTAGCTTATTTGTCTCCTTTAAACAGGATGCTGCATCTACAAATCCTAGTGTTATGAACTGAATGTTTGTGTCCCTCCTAAATTCATATGTTGAAGCCCTAATCCCAGTGTGGCTATATTTGGTCATAAGGGTGGGGCCCTGATCTAGTAGGATTGGTGTCCTTTTAAAAAGAGACACCAGAGAGCTGGTTCTCCCACTTTATTCTCCAGCTCCCCTGCACCAAGGAAAGGCCATGTGAGAATTATAGTAAGAAAGTAGCTGTATGCAAGCCAGGAAGAGTTCCCTCACCAGAACCCAAGCATGCTGGCACCCTGATCCTGGACTTTCCTGCCTACAGAACTGTTAGAAAATGAATTTGTTTTGTTTAAGCCATCCAGTCTATAGTATTTTTGTTATGGCAGCCCAAGCTAAGACACCTAGATAAATTTATTATCCTACCCCGAGTAAAACTGCTATCAACAAAATACTTACAGGAATCTTCTGAAGGAAGCAAACCCCTGGGTGGCACAGGGGGTAGTTGATCTGGTGATTGATTAATAACATTTCTGGAGAGAGAAAGAGAGAGAGTCAGTGTTTGGTTTGGACCATGCTTACTGTCAGTGGATTTAAAAGAAAATGTCAAGGAAAGTAAATGGGTTGAACATTAAAATTTTGGTCCCTACAAATTGGAAGCATTTCCTTCCCTTTCTAGGTCCTGCATCCCATTTGTAACTGGTACCCTAAAGAAACTCTTTCCTCTAGACCAGGGAATGGCTGAAATTGAGGAAGAAAGTTGAAGTGCTATAACTTGGAGCATGGATCACACCTTCCTGTGTTTGCCTGAGCTCAGTTTGGAGAGGGAAGATGTATTTTGATTTGCAAAACAGATATACTCGTAAAGCTGAGTGTACACACACCCTGAGATAGCAATTCCCACTAATGGGTCTATACCCTACCAAAATGTTTGCATATGTTCAAAAGACATGTACTCGAATATTCATAACATCACTATTCATAATAGCCCCAAACTGGACACTACCTGTATTAGTCTGTGTTCTCCATAGAAACAGAGACACGTAAAATTAACCATTACACTGTCCAAATGCCCATCAGGAGTAGAATGGATAAATTAATCATGGTATACTCCCACAGTGGAATGATCTATAGCAACGAGAACAATCTATACACACTAAATCTCATAAAAATAATGTTTAGCAGAATGAGCCACACACCAAATAGTATGAGGGTACTTCAAAAAGTTCGTGAAAAGACCCGTATCATCCTATAATCCTATTTTTCCATGAACTTTTTGAAATACCCTTATAAGACTGTATGATTCCATTCATATAAAGCATAAAAATAAGAAAAAACTAACATACTGTTACAGACTGGTTACCTTTGGGGTGTAATGGCTGAAAGGCAGTGTAAGGCAAGCATCTGAGGTATTGGCAATATCCTATTTCTTGATCTGGATGCTGGCTGCCTGGGTCTGTTCAGTTTGTGGAAATTGATGAGCTATGCACTTACTATGTGCACTTTTTTGTTCGTAATCTGAAGGATTTCCCCCCACTTACTCACACATCTTTTCTTCATATTACACTTTGGTAAGAAGTTTTAACTTCTTCTGAAAGAGGTAGACTCCAAGAAAGCTTCCTTCCCTAGACCTCCATTCTCCTATGTACACTGATTTCCAAAGTGGTACTAGATTCTTGTGAACCAAGTTTTGGACTCCTACATGTGATTAAGTCCCCCTGGGAATGCATAAACACTTCTAGGTTGTTGGGGTGAGTTCAGGAGGGGATGCACAGCAAGAGCCTCTCTCCACCCCTCTGTGGCTCCTCCCAAGAGAGGGATGTAGTTTATCTGCTAAATTTGGGAAAAATTCGGCTTCTTTCACTTTCTCCTACAGAGCTGGCCTGACTAGAAATCACATACTCTGTTCTGGTCTTTGCCATTCAGAGAAAGGGGCCTGCCCTGTGGGGGAGACCTGAGGTTTTCCAGAGCTGCCTGTGAACTGGGCAAGAAAGTCTACCCAGTTCAGAATTAGGAAACTCACTTGCCCATGGAGAAGAGCCATATTCTGCCTTGCCAGTTTTATTCTCAGTAAAGGCAATATTTTGGTCACCTAGCTTCTTGATACATCTGTCTTACTCCTCAAGGGGATTTTATGTGCTGGGCCCCTGAATCTCCAACAAAAGCTATTTAGAAGAGCATAGATTTTGTTTTAGATAGTGTATATATTCTGAAGAAAAGACTGGCTTTTCACTGGCTCCTGGGAGATAACCACTAAACGCTTGGAATATCCTGCCTGATAAGAGTGTCTGTATACATGGGGCCTTGGACCATTCCAGATAGTCTGTGCCAATAACGTGATTTATGGTGAATGTGTGCTTTTGTTTGCCTGGGGCCCTGGGCCATACTGTATCAGTTTGACTCATGGAGGGGCTGGAGACTTAGTAGCTAAGGTCAGTTGCACAGGTTCTCCATGCCCACATGACTGACCCCCAGAGGAAACCCAGGACACCAAGGCTTCTTTGGTCAGCAATGCTTTGCATATGTCACACATCAATGCTGCGAGAATTAAGGCTATTTGTGAGGCCCCATAGGAAGAGAACTGAAAACTTACACTTGGGTTCTCTTAGACTTCACCTGGGCACCTCTTTTCCTTTGCTGATTTTTATCTGTATCCTTTTGCTGTAATAAACTGTAACTGTGAGTATAATAGCTCTTCTGGCTCTCATGGGAATCCTTCTAGTGAATCATCGAGCCTAAGGGTGCTCTTGGGGATCCCCAATACAGGTAGCAATCATAAAGCTCCAAATGTACCACAAAATACAAAAGTAAAGAGAATGGCATATTTTTGTTCAGCACAATAGCTTCAGAGGACTATCTCCATAATTCATCTAAAGAAAAAAACTATAGGGCTGGCTGGTTAGCTCAGTTGGTTAGAAATGCGGTATTGATAACACCAAGGTAAAAGGTTCAGATCCCCATACCAACCAGTCACCAAAAAAAAGAAAGAGAGAAAAGAAATATAGACTGTGTGGTGGGCCCAGAACACAGAGTCTGTCCATAGATGAGACAAGGGAGGATGTGGATTGCAGAGAGAGCCAGATGGTGTCCTGCAGCACGATGCCCTGGGACCTCCACCCTCACGGTAGGGAGATCGGCAGACACGACATCTCATCAGCTCCACAGGAAGAGTAGGTGTGCAGTGGTGCTCATGCAGTGGAGAAGGGCAAGAGTGGAAGTGAACAGGTGGTTCTCAAAATAAAACACAGAAGGATTTCCCCCCACTTACTCATACATCTTTTCTTCATCTCTTTGGTTTTGTTTCAAGGGTTTGGCAATTTCCCATTTCTTGCCTAAGGGGGGGAAAAAGCACATCCATTTAAGAAGAATTAGCAAAAGCTGTGATTTTAGAGTTTAGAAGTCCTCAGAGATCAGGTGGGTCCAGGACATTTGGAAGAACTGCCAAGAGGAAGTATGTGGGCTGTGTGTATTTCCTCATTGCCTAGTACTGTGCCTGGCACTCAGAAACGCTGGTCTAGTGAATAACCAAAAGTGTGGTTGGGAGGAAATGAGACAAAGGATGGGAAGAGCAGTTTCTAAACTGTGAAGTGCTGGATATATAAGTTATTATTAATTATAACCTGCTTGTTAATAGGAGTGGTTCGAGATAAAAGAGAGTAGGTAAAGTTTTTATTCAGGGTCATACATTTGTGCATATCTGAGACTGAAAGGTTTTAAGAAGGCAAATGGATAGAGGGCTGTATGGGCCCAGCGTACATTTTTTTGTATTAAAAAGGTTAATTGCAATTAAGGGGTAGACAGGAAAGAGCATTGAACTGAGAGCCCAGCAGACCTGAGTTCTGGTCCCAACTCCATCACCAACTCCTATGGCACCTCAAATAAGCTTCTGTCCCCCTCTGAATTTTAGTTTTGTTATCTCCAAAAAGAGGCTGGGAAAAATGACAAAAAGATTTCACTTCTTGTGCAGCCGTGTCCTTTCAGCACTGGGTTGAGCAGGATTCTGAGGCTGTGTCCAGATGCAACGGGGGGACAGTGCCTTGAAGGATGCTTGCCCAGGGTGCCCCAGGGGAAGGTGGCTGTGCCTGTCAATGAATTTATCATCCCCAGGTGTACTTCTGGCTTAGGCCATTATTTAAAAGGATAGGGTGTCAAGACAACATGCCACTGAATCACAGATATGTTTCCGGAGATGAATGGCAAAGTGGAAAACTCACTTGTGGATAATCTACAGTTTTATTAATCTCCAGATAGCCACTTGTTTATGTCTGAGGATGCTGGAAACCTCTATTCAAGGTGGGGATAATACCACAAAATTCAGAGTATGATTGTGGGGAAAGCAATCATGGTGGCCAAACATGTAGTCATGGGTTGAGTCCATATTTCACTCTTCAAGATAGTTTTTGACATCCCATAGACTTGTATTCTCTTTCATGCCCCAGAGACAAGATGCTATGATCAGGAGCCACATAGGAAAGAGAAAGCACTTGAGCATAACAAGCCTTGAAACAGATTCTGTTCTCAATCAAACCGTGAGAGCTGCAAGGGTTCCTGGAGATTAGTTAACCTCCCTCCCTTCACTATGTAGATGGGGAAACTGAGGCGCAGGGACATAAGTTAAGGGGCGGGGCTAAGACTCAGACCCAGAATGCATGATGTTTAGTTCAAAGTTCAGCCCATACAGGCCCAGAACTAATCTTCTTGCCCTAAAGGAGCTCTAATGTACTGATAATCACCCCGCCCCTCCCTTCACCTGACCAGGTGAGATGGCCATTACCTTGTCTATTTTGCCACCTACAGACACAGTACATGATGAGGCCCAGGCCCACGGAAACAACGATGATGGCCACTGCTAGAATGATCCAGAAATTGTTCCTCCACCAACTCATTGCAGTGGAATCCTGAGAAGAATGGAGATAGAAGAATGAGGCACAGATGAGGGCATCCTGGGGTGGTGGGGAAGTTACCTACCATGTCCTGTAGAGATACAGACATCTGCTTAGGAATCAGATAGGCACTGGGTCACCTCAAACCCCACTGACTAGGGAACCTCGAGCAAGTCACTTAACCTTCTCTGAGCCTCAGTGTCCCCATCTGTAGTACGGGAATGAGACTGCCTACTACTTCTCGGGTTTGTGAGGATTAAAGATATATACCTACTAGTTACTCTAGAAATGGTAGATGTAATCCCTGCTTTCTTTTGGCAGGGGGGTGGGCAGTTGGCTGGTACAGGGATCGAACCCTGGACCTTGGTGTTATCAGCACCATGCTCTAACAGACTGAGCTAAGTGGCCAGCCTTCCTTTTTCTTATATTGCCAAACACGCAGCAGAAGGGAAAAAAATACCATTTCAGGTATTAATTGACTGGAACTATTTTTGTATCATAAGGGCAAGACAGATTTAATTCATAACAGGGGAGAGAGAATTTGGGGAGCCTTTTTTTGAAGTGAGGGTTAGAAAAATACCTTGATGGGTCTTTTTAAGTGAGGCATGGTCAGAAGGGGGGAGCTGAAGACACAGAACAAGCTGAGTTAGCCTGCAGGAGAAAAGCAACAGGAATTTGGGGGCTGGAGAGGAGGAGAGTTTTAGAAGAGGTTAGCAGCAAAGGGAGAGATCAAGAAGAGAGCAGCAAGTCAGAGCATGGTTAGAAAATCCCCAGAGTCAACATAACCAACACATTTATAGGACAGTTATGCCTAATATTCAGTCTTAAATTGCTGCCTGTATTATGCTGTGTCATAACCTTCTGCTACTGTCAAGCCTTGAATAAAACTGCACAACACACCAAAGCTTGTATGAGAAGAGCCTGGGGGATGGGTTGGAAATGACATGTGTGCAGTGATTTTCCAAGCCTGGGGTGACATACGGGCAAGTACAGAGAGCAGCAGCTGCCAGGCTCCAAGTGACAGTGAGGAGCAGGCTGCAGGATGGACTAACAGGAATTCAAGGACATCTTGGGGAGGGACTGGGCTCCCTTCATCCATGAAATTGGCACTTGGCCAGTTCATTTGGAGATTAAAGTAAAAATGATCTTTGAGGGATCCTTGGGAGATATCTGGGCATCCTGGTTACATGAGAATCAACTTCCTGTGTCACCATCTTGCCACCCATGAAAACTCATCCATGTGTGTTTATGCAGTGCCATTTCAGATTCATGCTTTTGAAAATGATGATGTAAAAAGGTGTCTAGGCAGGCAGCAGAGAAACAGGGGCAGAATTAGGCTGCTTCTAAAGCCATTTTTAGGCTGATATCACCAAGGTCAAGGGTTTGATCCTGTACTGGCCAGTTGCCAAAAAAAAAAAAAAAAAAAAAAGTAAAGAAAGAAAGATTGATAGGTAGACAGATAGAATTTTCTTCCCTCCACTTTCTCAATTCTTTTTCCACTTATTTAAATGTTTGACTCCTGGTTCTTTGTCTTTCTGTACTCTCATATTTTCTATCTCTTTGTCTTTTTGTTTTACTTTTGAAGAATTTCCCCCCAAAGCAACAGAAACATACTCTTTAGAGCTATAGAAGTAAATACCAAGACACAGAGTTAGAAGCTGTCGTATGTGAGCAGCAAGGCTGGGTGGAAGTTTGGGGCAGGGGGACAGGGCACTGTCGCTTTTTACTGTAAGCTCTCTGCATTGCCTGAGTTTTGAACTATTTGCATTTACTTTGATAAAATTGAAAAAAAAAAAAAGGTCAATTGACCATGTATGTAGTTCCCATGAGAAGCCATTGCTCAGGTTTTAAGGTTAAAGAAATTTCATCATAATGAGTTAAGGTTAAAGAAATTTCATCATAATGAGGTTCTGGGAAAGAGAGAGGTAGAATGATGTTGCTGAGAAGTGAAACTCTGGGTCACTTCTCAGAGCTACTCAGTGATAAGTATTTTTTTTTTTTCATTTTATTATTACAAATGAAATGAGTTTGATTTGCTATCATATGTTTCAAGCGTGTTCAGTGCACTAAGCCATCTGCCCAGTGCTGTCCCACCTCTCACCTTGCTTCGTCCTCCACCCCCACCCTGTCCCCCAGACGGGGAGCTGAGACTGAGGTGCAATGACCTGCAAAGGTCACCCAGGAAGGAAGGAGAGCTGCAACACCATCTGTTTATGTCACGGGGCCTTCATCTGTTGATGTTGTCAAGATGCCCCTGACTCATCAAGGAAAGGTCACATGGGATTCAGGATATCTTACCTTAGGAGGGGCATCACTATGGTAGTGATATGGTGGCATGAGGAGCCACAGGGGATCCCCCAGGATGAATTATGTGGGGTCCACGTTGAGAATACAAGTCCTAAGTTCTCCATATTCTAAGACCAGAGAAACAGCACCGTGGTCACCCCCTTCTCCATGGACTGCTGAGAGAGTCCTTTTCAACAGAATCGAGAAGAGCTGGTCTTCTTGGGAGAATGCAGCTGAGAAAGGGAGCCTGAGCTAGATGTCCTCTAGGCCACCAGGCTAGTCTGATGGCCAACGTGCTTCCAGAGAGGGGAGAGGACCTCTGGGAGAGATGGCAGGGAGTATGTCCAGAGGGGAGAGCTCAGAGGCTGCACAATTAAGTTCAGGCCCTGAAAGGGTATAGAGCCTGGATCCTCCCCTCACCAGCAGGCCTGGAGATGGGGCCACAGAAGGTAGATAAGATTGTGGGGTGCAGCACTGCTGAGAGCTACTGAAGCATGGGGTAAAGACACGCTTACAGGAGAGGATACTGAGAATCAGCCCAAAGATGCAGCCATGTCTCTCAAGGGACCAGCAGGGACCTCTCAAGGGCCAGGGGTTGAGCCCCTCATCGGTGGGCCCTGGAAGCCCCTACTCTACCACCACGAACTAGATCAGCAGTGATGGCCCACTGCTGGGAGACTTCTCATGGAAAATTATTTATCTCCCTCTTTCCTCCTCAGTGCAATGCCAGGGAGGTAAATGCAAAGAAGGGGGTGTTGGGATAGCTGAGCAGTCTCTATCCCTCTTTCTACTCCCCTCACTGGGGCAAAGGGGGGAGCTTTGAGTCAAACATAAGACTGAAGTTTTAAAATGAGCCTGACTAAATTTTTAAAGACTGAAACAAATTACTGCTTAGTCATCAAGAGTCACTTAAAACTTTTGAAATTGGTCAGATCCCCATATGGGCCAGCCGCCAAAAAACAAACAAGCAAAAAAAGTTTTGAAATTGGGCTGAAATGTCACTGGCGGAGGTCACTCCCTGTGGGAACCAGGGGAGAATCAAACTATCTCTGTTTCCTAGGGCAGCTCTAACAAATGGCCACTGAGTGGTGTAAAACAACACAAATTTATTATCTTGTAGTTCCAGAGGTCAGAAGTCCAATATAGGTCTCACTGGGCTAAAATAAATTAGTGGCAGGGCTGTGACTTTCTGGAGGCTCCATGGGAGAATCCATTTCCTTGCTCTTCTTGGCTTCTAGAGGCCACTCACATTCCTTGGCTCATGGCGCCTTCCTCCACCTGTAAAGCCAGCAATGTAGCTTCTCTCTGATGATTCTTCCATGGCTACTGCTTGCTCTCACTCTCCTCTACGGCCCCCCTCTCCACTTACAAGGACTACACGGGCCGACCAAGATAATCCAGGACACTCTCCCCATCTCAAAGTCAGTGATTAACAGCCTAAATTCCCTCTGCAAACCTTAATTCCTCTCATCTGTGAGATCTGACGCAGTCACAGGTTCTGGGGATTAGGACGTGGACATCTTAAGGGAGGAAAGGTCACTACTCAAACCAACATGCTCATACCTCAGCGAGATGAGACTCTTTCAGTAGTTATATGGGTTTATACACCTCTGAAATGTTGTGGGTTTTCTTTTTTTTGTCATTTTAGTGATAGGAAGGAAAGGGGAAAAAAATGATAATTCTGCCACCTTTGTCCCGAAGTCCACCACATAGTGCCTAATATTGCAGACCCTGTCAAGAATCAGCAGGATTGTGCCACCAGGCAGACATGGCTGTCTGTTTCTGCAGGGGCTGACTTCACCACACAGGAGGAAAAATCTTTGTCTTCAAGAAGCTGAAGATATAGGAAGGTTCTCAAGGCAGGACACAGACTCAAGAATAAAGCAGGGCCCTGGGAGCCAGAGTGGAGACCCAAGGTCCAGTCTAGACCAGGAGAGTGGAACCCGCTGTAGGGCCAGCACTACTCTAGCTCCTGAACTTCAGGCCAGCACTAGTCCCGGGGCATGGGGACCTGCTGAGTCCCCTGGTGCAGGTGTAGGGGTCCCAGCTGCTGGTCAGAGGTTGGGGAGCTGGCAGCCCCTGACCTCAGTTCCTGTCAACTTGAACATTTGGTGGACATCATGAATGGAAGAAAGAAAAGCAAGAGGAATTTTGGGAGCCTTCTTTCGTCATTAATTATCAAGTACCTCAGGTGTGTCAGGCTCTGGGCCAAGAACTTGAGGACTATCCGAAGTTCCCACCCCTGCCTGCACACTGGAATCACCTGGGGAGCTTTAAAAACTGCTGATGTGAAGGGGCATAAAGAATAAGTATGATCTGTAACAATGAATATGCTAATAAAAAATAAATTTAAAAGAAAAGAAAGTTTATGAGAAAAAATGCTGACGTGTGTACTGCATCAGAGATTCTGATTTAATTGTTCTGGGGTGGGGCCTGGCCTTTGGGGCTTTCTATGTCTTTACAAAGCTCTCCAAATGATTCTAATATGAGGCCAAGGTTGAGAACCACTGACACACATGTTATCACTTAATCCTCATTATATCCTTCCAAGGGTGGAGTTATTATTTTATATTATTATATAATAATACATTATATTATTACTCCCATTTTATAGATAAAATAGAACTCAGAGAGGTTAAGAAATGTTACATGGTTCAATCCTGTACCAGCTAGCTGCTGAACAAAAGAGAAAAGAAAGAAAAGAAGAAATTTTCTAAAAGCTACACAGCTAGTAATCGACTAACCTGAGATTCCAGCGCAGTCCAGTCTGATGCCAGTCTGTGCTCTCTTTACTCTGCAACGCTGACACCACCCAATAAATTCCCTTTTCATAACAGAACTGAAAGCAGAACCTCGGCTCAAGAACTTCCAATATTGGCAAGACTGCTGTGGCTTGTTCCACTTGATGAGAGCCTCAATATGAAAATGCACTTTAGAAAACTAACACATGTCGTGTGCTCGCTTACCGTGGATTGTAACCACTCTACATGCCCCAGCTTGTTTAATCCTCACAACGGCTCTGTGAGGTAGGTAATAACTATTATTATCCCACTTTACAGGTGAAAAAACAGAGGCGTAGAAGAGCTCAATAACTTGCCGAAGGTTGCAGTGTTAGTAAGTGGAAAAATCAGAAGCCAAACCCAGGTGTGTCTGTGACCACAGGGCTAGGGCTTCTCCAACGTTACTTTTGAGTTGCCTGGGAAATGAATTAAAATGCATTTTAATACAGGGTCCTACGTCCCACTCGACTCCCAATTCTGGTCTGTAGGTCTGGTGTGGGACTCTGGTGGTTCTGAGGCCTCAGTGAAGAACACTGCATCCAGCAGGTCTGCAGAAACCCTAGCTGGGCCAGGAGAGGAAACGGGATGTTGATTCCCTGGAACAGTCACAGTGAACAGCAGGAGCTCGGTGAAGTGAAAGACACTAAACAAGACTCCTGGAACCCACATACCTTTCTTGTTGGCTTGTCACAGTGCCCAGAATTCCACCATCCACAAGTCAGACACGTCTCTCCAGAGCAAGGCTCCATGCTCCCTCCTCTCCCCTATTCCCCTCCATTTAAACTCACTTGCCTGGGTGTGCTAGACATGGGGAAGAGAAGCCAATACACTGGCGCCTCAGTTTTCCTTCCCAAGGGCATTGGCAGGAGCAGGGACATCTTAGAATCTTTGTCCACAGTCTTTGGATGATAGTTATAGCTGAATATGATGGGGATGCAGGAATGAAGTTTCCGTGGGACAGAGAGAAGCTGGGAAGACCCTGTCTTCTAGGCATCTATGCTCCCTGCTTGGCGTCCCTCGCCACCTCGGGGGTGCTCCTGTACTCTGTCTCCACTTCCTCCTAGTCATCCTGCCTTCAGGAAAGACTCTGAGCCTCATTCACTGTGAGAAGACCAGAGGGAGAGATGGAATCCTCGGCATCACCGTAGAAGGAAAGAGGAAGAACTTGCAAAGAAGGGAGAGAAGGAGCAGCCCGATGGGAACAGGAGACGGCAGAATCCCACAAGGCATGGGAAGCGCTGGGATTTCAAGAAGGAAGGGAACTGAGGCTCAGAAGGGGCTGTTTGTTTGTTTACAACATGAGACTTTTGTGTGTTTATAAACCGTGAAGGGGCCCGGAGAGAGGACAAGAATGAAGTGCAGGGACAGGACAGCAGGAGCAAACCCAAAGGAGAGCAGAGGAGACACCGTCAGGGCCCAGACAAAAGAATGAGCTTCAAAAGGGAACAGCTCACAGAGAGGGGAGTGGTGCTAGATGGAACCACAGAGAAGAGTGGGCTGTGGGGGCAGGAAGTTGACAGCTCACACCCACAAGCTTCCACTTCTTTGAAGTAGGAGGCAAAGTCAATGACTTGGGGGGGCTGGGTGGGTGGGGGCAGGAGGCAGACCCAGCTTGAGGAGTGTGGTCCAGAGGTGCTTGACAAATTCTTCCTCCACCTTCCAGCCCTGCTCCCCCCTGCAGGTCAGTGGTGCCTGCCTCCTTACCTGCCCCTCCTGAGGAGTGCTCCTCAGACACAGGAAGGGACACCACTAGCCCCGCAATATGTTATGATCAATGTGTGAAATGTATTTTTCCTCCAGCTGAGCCTGTTACAGTGACAGTTGTCCTTGGGTGTATGGGTTCTATTGTCTGTCTGCTACACGGGCATGTAAGTGCCATGAGAGCAGGGGCCTTGCCCGTCTCTTTGCTGCTATGTTTCTAGTGCCTAGAACATCACCTGGGACACAGTAGACACTTCATATATATCTTTGAATATACGAATGAATGAATGATGCCCCAGCCTCTTTCCCCTGCTATCAGTAGACATCCCCTCTAATGATGCAGGGCAGTGGACCATTTGGATCCAGAGTCTGAAATTCCTGTGCTGTGCAGTCTAATTCCAAAGCCACCTCACCTGAACACACAACCTTGGGCGGGCTCCCTGCCCTCCATCTGTCATTGGTTACTGGGGTCAAGAGGCTGGCTGGAAAGCAGAGGTCATACGAGTGTTGGGGGATTCCATCTTCTCTCTCTCTTCTCCCCATTTCTCTAGTTCAAGTGACATCAGTGAGCATGCTGCAATTCTGACTGGCTTCAGGGGAAGGGACTGAGCAAGACATTCCACAGGGAAGGGGGTGGGTGTGTGGGAGGGCAGCTAAGAGCAGTCATCGTCTCAGCCCCATCTCTCACTTCTCCAAAAGGCATTTCCAGAGAGTCAGTGACAGAAACCACATTATCCTTTATCAGGAATTCCTGAGACTGTGGGTTTATTCAGCATTTGTCTTTTTTTTTTTTTTTCCTTAAACCAAGATCCTCAATAAGAAATGCAGTTGACAACATAAAAGGTACACACATATGCATTGAAGGGCCCTGGGCTGGGCAGCAAGAAACAGGTTTCTTGTCCCCACTTTGCTGGGCACTAGACTTTGCACTGGAATGAGATCCTTAACCTGCCTCCCTACAGGCTTGTGAAAAGCTTCCAAGAGATGAAGTGTGCAGAGCTCGGAGGATCACTAAGCTTGGGGCATGATTAAGAACAAACCAAAAAGGTTCTATTTACAATTGCAAATGCCTTCTAACAAGGGCAGAGCTGGCAAGGCCAGGAAAGAAGTTTGCTGGTAGGAACTGGGGAGTGTTGCATTCCTCTGGGTCACCGAGGGGGAAGAATTTGTGGAATCCCAGGGGAGGAAGGGATAGGGGGATGTGAAGAAGGGGGGCCAGCAGGATGGTACAAAACTGGGAGAAGCAGCTGGTAGAAAGTGCTCAAGGATGGGCTGGCAAAAACATTTCCAGAGGGCTCTATTACATTCAGTTTGCGGTTGACTGCCCTGCTGCATTATAACCCCCCCGTGACCCCCTGCCCAATCTTTTTTTTTTTCCTTTTTGTCTTTTTTTTTTGTGACCGGCAACGGATCGCAACCCTCAGTGTCGCGCCCGTACCGGACCGGGACCGGCAACGGGATCGCAACCCTCGGTGTTGCGCCAGCACCTTGCTCAGCCAGTGAGTGGCCGGTCTGTATGTGGGATCCGAACCCTCGGCGGGAGCTACAGTGCGCCACTGGGCCAGCCCCCCCTGCCCAATCTTTAGTAAAGTCTGCTGCATCTGCCAGTGCTTGTGTGAGCAGGTTTGTTTTGGTGGTGTGAGGAACCAAGAAAGGGGCTGAGCTTCAGCTCTGGGTCAGTGCAGTTGAAACCGAGCCCCTATAAGGATTTCTCTTAAAAGTTTTCTCTTTCCTCCCCGTGCCTAATTACGTAGTTTTTGTAAGCTTAAGGGTTATGAATCAGACCTGTCTCCCTTCTGTTCTCCTGCTTTCCTAATCAACCTTTTTGAATAAAGGCAGG